ACAAAGTCCTCACAGCAAACCGCCTGGAGACGAGAAGATCAGACAGATAATTAACCGTTAACACACAATAAACTTCAAACGTTTGATGCGTTTTAATGGGAGCTTGTTGCATTGACTGTCACCTCTGGGAGAAGACAGCAGGACCAGCCTCCATCTTGGGTCTTACAGCAGGTGGAGTCATCAGGACAGGCTACCGTGTCATTACAGGGGACAAGATCAACTGAAAAAAGAAAAAATACAAACAGTTAAAGCTTTTTTATAATCTAAAATCAGGATTTATTTACTGCACTGGGGGAAAAAATGGTTAAGAGGTTTTATTCTCTTCTGGATCCAGGCTTTAGTAAATGTAATAGCTGAAGAAGAGCTGTTGTTTTGAGCTCACAGCTCAACAAACCTGTTCTGCATGGTCAGAGCATCCAATCTGTCCCGTATTAACAGGAAACACTGTATCGTATCACATTAAGCTGAGTCACGCACTGACACAGACACACTCCTGCAGAGGAGGCATCTGGGATGCTTTTGTTCCCATTCAGGGGGATAACTCCTTGGTTTCTTAAAGGTAAAGCGCACCACAAACCCCTGAGAAGCTAATTTCATTTTCATCTCAAGGTAAAACGTTTCTATTGTAAAGGAGGTGGTCACTGGTTGATGATATGGCCTTTTGCAGCTTTGTTATACAGAGAATTTATGGGGGATTGTGGACAGGGGCCTTAAACTTTGAGAGAACACTTCAAATATTGTGGGGAAAAAACACCTTCATCATTATGATAAACTGGCATCATAATTTTAATACACATTGCCTTCTTTATTTTCATATATTCATGTTCAGATATGTTGATTCATGATTGTGATCTCACCATTGTCTTCCATAGCAACAGGTGACTCCGTAGATACTTCCTCCTTTGAAGGAGGAACCGTATTGGCCTCAGGGTTTTTTTCTCTGTCGGTGTCCGGAGCCGTTTCGGCCGTAACTTCTTTCTCACCATCTGGAATACACACAGGCAGTTTTACACAGTGTTTATCCAGTAAGAGGAAGTTTGTGGGGGCAATAATCGAATCACAAACAGGCTAACCTTTCTGGTTCTCCCAGTCTTCTCTCGTCCTGGCGGGGAACTTGGCCCACATCGGCAGTTCTTTCTTAGTGGATGAGGAAATGCATTTCATGTGCCCGGTGTCACATGTAGTCCCTTCGGGACAGCAGTGTTTCTTATCATCGCAGCACACGGCCTGTTAGGACAATAGCGTCACATGGAGATTCACCTCAGAGCTGTGCAGGATAAGGTGCCATAAAGAAACAATAACCTCTACACACACAGAGACACCACATGCAAATCCACCATTTGACTTATATTACTTATGAGCAGGCTTATGGTATGGAGTTGTATTGGCATGCAAAAACTGGACTGATAAGAAGATAATGGGCGTCCATTTTTGGGACCTTTGGCATCGGACAGCATCCCCATTTGCCTTCAGGTGTTTCACAGCAAGTTGTTTCTTCTGGGCACTCAGACACGCCGTCACCACACAGGACCGTCACCACAAGCTCTGCAACAGCGTGACAAGAAAGCCAACGTTTAGAAAAACCGGACAAACGATGCTTAGAAGAGAGTTTAAGACTAAAAGGATTGGACTGGTTCCACCTTTTCTGATGCAGGAGCGGCTGTCCATGCTGCAGCGGTGGCCCTCGGGACAGCAGTGTTTTCCGTCAGAACAGGAAACACCCTGATGGAGTTAAAACCATTTAAATCTCTCTGCCTAACACCAATGATCCTCCCCATAAAGAAGCAATCTGAACCGACACGGTGTTGGTAAAACAAAAGCCGTCCTTAAGCGCTCCTAAGTGAAAATCTCTGGGGTTTTTTGAGAGAAGTGAAACAAACTAAGATGCTTTCAGAGAGGAAGTTCTGTGTGTTTATATGAAGAAGATGTCACACTGTGCTTAATAACAAGAAAACCATATATAAAGATACTGAGCAGTTAAATGCATGCATGAAACCACATAATGTGAGGCCACGTCAACTGGATAACATACCGTACTAACGGGTCATATATATTTTATTTGGTTTTATCCTCCGCTAATTCTTCTTTAGTTTTTGGAGGAAAAATGGAACTAAGTATTCCCTAAAACATGTGCAAACTTCTAAAAAGCGAAGCATAAGAAAAGCATTGTGCTGCTCAGCCTAAGCCTTTGGCAAAAAAATTTAGCAGATTTAAAATGTACCTCAAGACAAAAGGACGCTTATTAAATGTGGAAGTTCCAACTTTTAAATCGCAGTCGCTGATATGTTTAAATGTTTAGAATAACTCCAGATTAGAGAGACATCGTTGCAATGCAAAGAGTTAAACATAGAGCATGTATTTTAATGTTGAATATAACTGGTTAAAAAGGCCAAAAACACTGATAAAAGTCTCGAGATTTTCGTGATTATTATCTCAGGAACAGAACAATCACCTCAGTCACAACTTATTAAACGGCTTATTGAAAGGTTCAATGTTTCTAAGTGCTTGTGATTACCTTGGCGAGAGGGCAGCAGCCAAACTTAGTCAGTGCCTTCAAGCAGGAAAACTCTGGCGGGCAGCGGGACTGATCGGGACAGATGTTATCCTCATCCTCCCCCATGTAGGTCCTGATCATCCTGAAAGACTGCCGGACGGAGATTATTTGATTTTTTGCCTCCACCGAGCAGATGAAATGCCTGTGTGCTTACTTTGGAGGACGGGGGCTCATCCGCGGGGGTCCTCTCCCTCCAGGGGACGGAAACAGTGGCGTTCCCACAGCTGGACGTGGCCTGGTCACAGAGGGTGTTTTGGGGACAGCAGTGGATGTGATCCCCACAGCACTCGGCCTGTGGAACCAGCCCAGGAGGGGAAAGACTTTGACTACCAAAGTTTCTGTCACGCTATCGTTCAGCCTGAACTGGGTCAGCTCTTTTATCTGGTTTGCACAGTAGTAAAACACCAGTCAGGATGAATAGCACCACTGTTAAATACCTTTAATTAAGAGGACAAGAGAATGGTTATCTACTAAGTCCGTTTTACTATGAAACTAGTTAGCCTTTAAGATAAAGATATCCATTTTAGGAAAATAAACTAAAATGATTTGCAAATCAAAATGTAGATATGTGACTGATATTGAACTAATAGTTGGTAGTACACTTTTTAAAGCTAATCCAATTCAGGCTTTAGTGGGCTGATCATTTTAGCATTTTATGTTTCTGGGGCTAAATACATCAGTATTACTTTCACTAAATTGAAATGTCTTACTAATTCCTATCTATCCAACCAAAACACTTACAACCAGAAAAAATAAAGTAAAAAATGTTTCTTAGGTTGATGGAATTTACAACTTTAAGCCAACTAAAGATAGATTTTGTTCTATAGCTCAAGAGAACAGGACTTTTAATATCTTCTGACTTTCAACTGCTTACTGACACATAAGGTTAACAAAAGAAGGTACAGTGATACGTTCTGACTTCCTTTTTCTGTTTTATATGTCAGTGTGCAGTTGAAAAGTTACTCAACTGTAGAAAGAAAATGAGAAGTAGCAATTCAGATCTGTTTTCTGAGAACAATACTGCTCAAGAACTTCTGTTATAAATAGGTTTTACCACACAATTAATGTGTGTCTATCAAAATAGCAATATAGATACACATTCTTTTTCAATATTGCCTTTATTGGTTATGCGCAGGAGTTAGGAGAAGTTAGATCTCTATGCATAGTTATAGTGGGACAAATGGGAATATAATGACTGAATTTGAACTTGACCAAACACAATAGCCATTACTGAGCTAAAGGTGAATAAGAATTTACATACATTTTGGGTACAATGACAACAAAAAGGTGAAGAAAAATGTCAGATACGTGTGATTTCTTTGTAAGAATACTTGTGATTGCAATATTAGGTACAGCGGTGGTGTCTACCTTATCAAAGGGGCAACAGCCATAACCATTGGCTGGGGTGTTGCAGCAGGTATTCCCTTCTTCACATCGCCCTCCATCCGGACACTCCTCTGCTCCGACCAGAGCCAGGAGAGCCCAGCAGATCACTGCCCACCTCTGCATCTGCAGGCAGAGGGAACCCCACACCAGCAGAGGGTGGAAAATGGAAAGTGAAACTCCACATGACACCTCAAAAAGACATTTCTTCACTCAAAAACTTCCAATGACAATGAATGAATGAATTTATTTATTTATTCAACAAATCATTCAGGGCGTTGTCACTATAGCTGTGTAAATAGATGATTTTTTCTATCCAAACATTTAGAGGGACAGGTACAAAGTACAAACACCAATTCAACTGTCTGAGCATCCACTTTTTTTTTTGTCTATTTCCTGAAAGACTAAGACTTCCTTTAATGAATGAATAAACAAGCCAAACACAATGGAGTCTGATATAAAACAGCTGTTTCGGTTTCGTTTATCGCACACTCAGGCTCAGGATAAGCTGGATCCTTGACAAAAGAAGGCAAACGTTTAGGTCCCGTAAAGATCGAACCACTGTAATGACTATTTCAAAGTAGCTTGTTAAACTTGCATTTAACTTGAACTTGAATCAGCAAGTCATTGCAGTTTGGTGCCAGATCTTTTATAAGCAGAAAACGATTTGTCGGACAGTTGAGGGTAAAACAATAAGGTTATACTGACCTTACCTCTGAGAAAGACTTAAGGGCTGTAGTGAGCTGCCAGGTGTTTCACAAGCGTCTCACCAAAGCCAAACCAGCTCGGTGGACCACATCAGCTTAAACACGCCTCCAGGTGGGAGGGTCAGGGTGGAAGAGGTGGCTTTAAATTCAGTGGAGTCCTATTGTGTTACTTTACGCTCGATCCCTTATTAAAAACAGTTCCAACTACTAAACATGATCAAATACAATTTATTTTGTGTCTACTAAGAAGCCGAGTGCTTCATTATAGGGCGGAGGACAAACTTGTTTACATCCCGCAGTGCACTTCCACTACTCCTCCGCTAGGGGGCGACAAAGAAAATACAAAGGCAGAGGTGACCGCTGATCTACAAAACATATGCAAAGGCTACTTCCGGTCTTTCCCTATGAGCTATTACGCATCCGGGTGTTTGCTACATCTGCGTAACGCCTACGTGAGCCTTTTGTGGCTTGTACCCCCAAAGTGGTCGCAGGCTATGCGATAACATATTGACAGGCTCTCCGTTAGGAAACGCCTGCATAAACTGTCGCAGGGCAGACTAACTCTGAGCTAACATGGGTGAAGACACCCGTTTTTTACAACGAATCTGGCAGCCCAAGTAGAGGTGAGTGACGTTAGCTTGATATCTCCAAAAAGGGGGAAAATTAGCTTGAATCTGCTCGCTAGCTGCTAAGCTAATCCGCGTTCGAATGCTGACAGTTTGCTGATTTAACGATTTTTCTTCCGTGCATTTCATTAAAATAGACAATTTTGTATGAAGCCAATGTTTCCTGCTCACCTCTTAAATTATCCCAACTTAATATATTATTCTGAAACAATGAGTTGGTAAACCAATATTAAAAAGGAACACAGTGTACCGACGTTGTATTTCATGGGCTGTAAGGTGTTTATCAACCGAGACATCCCAAATGCAGGGTTAATCTAATCTAAACTGAATATAGGTTTAGTGTATTCCCATTTGATCCCCTATCCGGTCTGCATGAGTGTCGTGTTTGTTCAGGGTTACGTGACAGATACCCTTCAGGCTTCGCGTAACTGAGAGGGACCTTCCCATTTGAGGACGCACGTTGTCAGACGCATGTGGAGTGTGACCCGCGTGCCCAAACCCGGGGCCCGCGAGGCCGTAGCTGCACGCGAGGCCCCCTCAAAACCTAACCGATTCTGACAAGTCAAGCAAAAGTCCGCTATCCCAGCAGAAAAACAAGTTAAACTAGGCCGGGGGTGGGTGGGGGATGGGGGACGGGGGCTTTGACTGGCCTGGACTGGCTGCGTTGGTGAGATTGGAGACGTGCATGTGAAAGATAAGCTATCGCCACGGTTCAAGGACCTCGTTTAACCAACTCCACCTAGACATTTCCAGCCCGTTTCGGTTCGGGAACCAGCCTGCCTCTCCGACATGTTAACAGCCAGCCTGATTCCTCCTCCGCCTGGCCACAATTCGCTTTGGCACCTGCTTATGCATGACCTCTGACCTCTGACCCGGACAGCTGGGTGTAGGTTTACTCTTTTGAAAACAGCCTGGCCCCTCCTGAGTTTTCTTTACATAACGGTGAGACGGAGGACTAGGGGACAGCTCCGGGGCTTGGTTTAGAGCTTGTGCGGGGCATTGTCAGCGTGATCTGCCATTTCTCTCTCTGGTCCGACAGGTGGGCAGGATGGGGGAGCGGAGCGTGGGCAGCCCCGTGGCTGCGATCTCTCCAGTGCAGCAGATGCTGGCCTCTGGCACTGGAGCCCTCCTCACATCTCTATTTGGTTAGATTATAGAAACAAAAACTACAGAAAAAACAAAAACAAAAAAAAATCTAATGGAGTTTTCAGAGTTTTGCTGTCATTTTCCTGTCCATTTGCAGCCGTTGTGTAGATTTTGAGGCAGCCTGGTAACGTTTCTTCTTTCCCACAGTCACTCCGCTGGACGTGGTGAAGATCCGGCTGCAGGCCCAGCAGACGCCGCTCCACCAAGGTCTGGAACGGGGTTCTCTCTCTCTGGGTTTCATGTCTGGGTTTGCTTTGCCGTTGGTGCTAACGCCTCTTCTGCCTGGCCCCTCTTCTGCTCCGCTCTCAGCTTTGGCCTGTGAATCTGCTCCGTGGGGCGCCGTCGGACGCTCGTCTAAATGTGAGTATCCACCGGCCCGCTGCCGCTTGCCGACTCGGCACATTTTTCCACACGTGGCTAAAATAACAAACGTTTGCTGAGAGACGGTCAGAAACGACGACCGCGTTCCCCCGGCTTTTGTTTTGGGAACACCTGCCAGCCCCTGCTGATCCTGTTTCTGTGCAAATGTTGGGAAATTCTGCTATTTTTAGTCTTTTGGTGATTAATCAGTCAATAGCCTTGAATAAATAAACAATAAGCACAAACAAGGACGGCCCTGGGCTTATCTTTCTCTGTCTCCTCGGTCAGTGCCACTGCCTGTATTATTCATGACTTTTCTCTCCTCCTGTGGAGGCCTTTAGAACTACGTTTTGCGGTTCAAACTCGCATTGCCAGAGTTAAATAGTCTAAAAATACCTTAATTAATAATCTGCTGGGATCCTGCCCAGCGGGGCTCCCCGGCCAGAGCCGGCTGACCGCTGTCTGTCCTCTGACCGCTCCTCTGCCTGTCCTCCTGTCCAGGGAAGTGCTTCCTGTACTGCAACGGGCTGATGGACCACATCTACGTCTGCCAGAATGGAACCAGCTGCACCAGTTGGTACAAAACCCCCACGCATTTCAGCGGGACTCTTGTGAGTAGCCCTACACCGACGGGTCTGTTTCAGCGCCGAGCCTCCGACCCACAAAAATGACCTGACGTGGGTTTTTCCAACAGGATGCTTTTGTGAAGATCACTCGCCATGAGGGAGTCCGGTCTCTGTGGAGTGGGCTGCCCCCAACGCTGTGAGTGTCCTCTGGAGTTAGCCGCTGTCTGCAGTAGGGACGTCCCGATGCAGCTTTTTGCACTTCTGATCCCAATCCCGGCCTATCAGAGCATGTGTTAAATTACAAAGTTATTTATCTACTTACTTAGTTGTCAGACTCATGTTGAACAGGGATTTACTCTGACCTGTGGGTTTGGAGATGCTAATGCTAATGCTCATGTGGGATCGGTCTTTAAAAAAACTGGATCTGCATTTTCTCCTGCCGGCTGATACACAGTTTTTTGCCAATATCGGCGGTCGATCCGATCCAGATATCGGATCGGGACAAGCCTATTAACAACTTAATGGTTAGGACAAAGACATGTGGGCTAGGAGATGCTAATGTTTGTGGATCTGGAGTCTGGATCTGCATTTTCTCCTTGGCCGATACGCAGTTTCTTGCCAATATCGGTGGCCGATCCGATCCAAATATCGGATCTGGACAAGCCTAATAACAACTTAATGGTTAGGACACAGAGCTGTAAGTTAGGAGATGCTGATGCTCGTGTGGGATCAGACTTTAAAAATGAAAAACTGGAGTCTGGATCTGTCTGCTGGCCGATACGGATATTTTAGCAAATATCGGCGGCCGACCCGATCTCCAAACTCCTCAGTAAGCTGAGTGTCTGGCTCTGACGTTTCCCCGTTTCCCCGCTGGTGTCTCAGGGTCATGGCGGTCCCAGCCACCGTGATCTACTTCACCTGCTACGACCAGCTGCGTGACTTCCTGCTCTTCGGGGTGGGCCTGCAGGGCAGCCACGTGCCGCTCCTCGCCGGAGGCCTCGCCAGACGTGAGTTCTCCCCGAAAACCCACCGCCAGCCGCTTAACCCCCGGAGAGGCCCTCTGAAGCCTGTGTCTTATTAGAGGAATTTTGTATATACATATGTATATACAGGACTGTCTCAGAAAATTAGAATATTGTGATAAAGTTCTTTATTTTCTGTAATGCAATTAAAAATCATGAAATGTCATACATTTTGGATTCATTACAAATCAACTGAAACATCGCAAGCCTTTTATTCTTTTAATATCGCTGATTATGGCTTACAGCTTAAGAAACCCAAATATCCTATCTTAAAATATTAGAATATCGGATTTTTGAGTTTTCTTCAGCTTCTCATTCTGATTCTGGGTGTGCTGCAGTGGGGGCCGTGACGGTGATCAGCCCTCTGGAGCTGGTGCGGACCAAGATGCAGTCCCGGCGCCTGTCCTACGGCGAGCTGCGGGTGTGCATCCGCTCAGCGGTGGCCCAGGGCGGCCCGCTGTCCCTGTGGAGGGGCTGGGGCCCCACCGTGCTCAGAGACGTGCCCTTCTCCGGTGAGTGGCCGCCGGAGGGGGGTTATTAAGAGACACTTATTCATCCAGGTCTGATAATGTAACTGCACATCAGAAAGTGTGTGGAAACCCCCCGTTTTGCACACCTGCTGTCATTAAATGCCCCCATTGTGCTCAACACATTGACCATTATAAAGATACATACTTTAGACAAACCTTAACTGTCCAGATAGAGACAAATAAAGGGTTTAAAGCTTTTAACTTCCACCTTTCAGGCTCATCGAGTGTGAATGTTTCCAACTAAAAAAGTGATTGTGTCCTTTTATAGTCTTCCATTTACCAGTGGTTTATTTTCCCAGGGAGGTCGTTCTCAGTTGGAGACATTTATTCAAACTATCATCTTTTTTAATCTTTGCTTCTCTTGGTTTATAAGTGGTTCAGAGTCATTTGAGGCCTTGCGGTGAACACAGCAGCCTCTTCTTCAGAGCTGGCCATGTGATGAGCTGATGTTTTAATGTATGCTAGAAGAGAGCCAATGCAGTTTTTTATTTTTCTGATCTATCAATCTGGTTAATAACCTCCATTCAGGCCTGAGATCTAATGAGCTGCTGCTTAATTTTGGGGTGGTTTTTCGGGGGAAAATGGAAAACCTCCAGATAAACCCACTGAAGAAGACGATAGTTTGCAACGACTGGTGTATGAGCAGAGAAATGGATGTGTTATGGATCTGTCCCTGCTTTATCCGCAGCTCTGTACTGGTTTAACTATGAACTGGTGAAGGCCCAGCTCTGTGAGCAGTACGGGACGCCTCAGGCCAACTTTTCCATCAGCTTTACAGCGGGAGCCGTCTCTGGAGCTGTGAGTACTCATTTATGGTCTGTTACCAGTCAGTAGGGCCTAAGGCAGCAGATTATCACTCACAATAATCAGCTCATTGAAAGATAACATGAATAAAGGTTTTATAGGATTTCCATCCAAACACTCTAGAAAGTCCTGATATAATATACAGAACACTTTAAAATTGACTCCAACAGCTAGAAAATCCCACTGAAAAAAAAAAGGCAACATAAAGAAACAGATTTCTGCTGTATTTAGAAATGATTAAGTGTGGAACAATATGGTTTATTGAGCTCGGTGCATCACAAACTTGCTAATCAGAACCTGTAAGAGAGATTTGAGGGCTCTGAGGTGGAGGAGCTGCTCAGGTAATAATTGTTCCTGTCTTTCAGATTGCCGCAGTGCTGACGCTGCCTTTTGACGTGGTTAAGACCCGGAGGCAGATCCAGCTCGGAGAGATGGATGGTCTTGGAGGTCGGTGGCTTTCTATATAACCCTAATTCAGGCGTGTGTGTTGTAAGAATGTGCCCACAGTCACTAATTTTGATTCCTTTTCGTTGTTGCTCAGTTTCTGTGAAGAAGACGGCATCCACCTGGCACATAATGAAGGAGATCTGGGCAGAGCTGGGCTACAGGGGCCTTTTTGCAGGTGTGATTCTGCCCTCTGTTCAGGGCCGAGTGGCCACTAATGGAAAAAACGCCACGCTGTTTTATCCTGCAAAAAAAGTGACGGCTTCTTTCTTTTTTTTTTTTCAGGTTTTATGCCCAGGGTGATCAAAGTGGCCCCAGCCTGCGCTGTCATGATCAGCAGCTATGAGTTTGGAAAGGCCTTCTTCCAAAAGATGAATCTTGATCAGCAGCAGCTGGCCACCTGAGAGCCCCCCCGGTCCAGTCAGCTGTCAGCTTTACAAACGTTCAGGTTTTATTTTCAGGACAGCTGGGGTCAAGAAGGATGGACTCCATGTAGTCTGTGAACAAAAAGGAGGAGGACTTGTGTTTTTGGGAGGGAAGCCTCTTTGCAGATTTGCTCTTTGGAAGTTTTTCAAGCACAGGCTCCACCAGGAGCCCCCTTTCCAGACCTGAACCCTGAGGGACCACAGACTTTATGTGTGTTTCAGTTGATTCCTCACTGGTTTAAAAGCAGTTATTCCTAAAGTTTCAGTCTGACCACAACCATCTAATCTACGATGACGAACCTGAGCCCGCTATGCATGACAGAGACTGCTCCATCCTGCCCCCCCCCACCGTAAACTTTAGGCCTGAGGCAGTGGAAGCATGACGATTCTGGTTGATTATCTGCTGTGTAGATGATTTACAAATCTGTTTTGTATGCAGGGTAAATGTGATTTTTATGTTGAGTTGCAACACAAGAGCTTTGAAATGAAATGGCCTGTGAAACAAAAGTTTTGTATGTTTTTTGTGTTGTTGTTTTCAGATGTTTGCTCCTTGTTGATAAAGTTCTGACATGCAGCCTCATACTGTGAGCATAAAGCCTCTTCAAAATCTCAAAGTTGGTGCAAGAAATGTTGGACCTAATTATTTGTCCCCTTCTGTGCATGAAGCATTTAGTAACTATTTCTACAGCTAAATACATTTCTGTAAAGAAACTGGATTTGTCTTTGGTGAAAAATAGACCTAATGGCATTCCGGTGATGAAATGCTTTTAAATCCCACAAAGAAAATCATAAAACACACTGGATCATAAAACATTGAATTCAGCCTTAATTTAACTGATGTAAATGTGTCTTGTTTTATATTAATTGAATCATATTAAAAGGCAAAAAATGACTTTTATGAACGAATCAATGTTCTTTTCTGAGTTTGAATGAAATTCAGTCAAATCTGGGACATGATAAAAGGAATGTGCAGACATTTGTATTTTTCGCTTTAGAAGAATTACAGAAGCAATCTATGGAAATTGAACATACATATAATCTTTAGATTATGCAAAATACTTTTCTCAGCTCTCAAAAACCAAAAAATGAACTCAGAATGATTTAATTACGATTATATTGGTGTTGTGGGGTGGTGTGACTTAGCCGACAGCGGCCTCTAGAGGCTGCTGTGTGTGTTGCCTCGATGTCTCGGAATCTCATTGGCGGGACGTAATCACGCGAACTCTCGCGTTACTTGCTACTATATATAAACACACGCGGCCCGTTGGAGGACCTCTTTCAATCGGTCTGGAGACAAAATGGTGAGGTGCCTTCCTCTTGTCGTGTAGCTTGCTCAGTGCAATCTGCACGTTATCTCAACCATCCGTCAAGTAATATTACCTAAAAAGGAAAGGAATGTATTGGTTAGGTGTTTTGATGGGCTCCATATTAATATTTTAAGGACATTTCTGCCAATTATCTTAGCTCTGGTTATCCTGATTTAGCTATGCCGGCAACTGGTAGCCCAAAATGGCAGCATAATGTAGGCCAAAACCCAGTTTTTCTCAAATAATTCGAATGCAAAGTTATCGTAAGATGTTATATTATAGTTTGGATTAAATCCTATTAACTGAATTGCACATTTTAGGTAATTTCTGCCAGTTTTGTTTGAGGGACTTGAGCACATGTGCGTCCATTGGGGTTAGCATGCTAACCTCTCCTTCTCCCCGCAGTCCCACCGTAAGTTCTCGGCGCCGCGTCACGGCTCTCTGGGCTTCCTGCCCCGCAAGAGGAGCCGACGCCACCGTGGAAAGGTCAAGAGCTTCCCCAAGGATGACCCCAGCAAGCCCGTGCACCTGACGGCCTTCCTGGGCTACAAGGCCGGCATGACGCACATCGTCCGGGAGGTGGACAGGCCTGGCTCCAGTGAGTGACTCCTGCATTTCCCCTCACGGAACCGTCCACGCGAAATTAATACAGGGAAACTGCTGATTTATAAGGATTTTAACTCATTGACTGCCAGCCATTTTCAGAACAGAAAGTCCCATACTGCCAGAGTTTTTTGAGCATTTTGACAGATTTTTCAAGAGCCACAGAATAGTTTGTGCTATGACTATGCAAACACCGAACAAACCAAAAGAAAGAGTAGACTCTCTTCTTTCATCAGGAAAAAAACAATTGTTTCTACCTTATTTTGTTAACTTGCGTCTCACAGGCGCCATTTCTCCCATAGCAAACCATTACCTTTTTCTTATTTGCCTACAGTCTATGCTAATCTCCCATCAAAAGTGACACTGCCACCTAGAGGGTCAATTTGCTAGTACATACTCTGTCTAGAAGCCGATATTTACGGACAAGTTTTAGCAGATAGTCCCCCAGTCACTCGTTGAAAAACATGAAAGACTTCTATAGACGTCTTAGGCTGTCAACGGTTGTATTTGAATTGACGTCTATAGACGTCTTTGGCAGCCAATGAGTTAATAGATTTAAGCTATTACTTCTGCAATTTGATGCGTAGTTTAAATGTTATCTGCCTGTGATGAGCCTCTCGACGGGCGGACATAATGGGTTTCTACCCCCTTGCTGAATGTCGAGTACTGAGCGCAGACCAACCATGTGGTCTCTCAGGGTTTATGCTGCACATTGAAGGTGTGTAACCAGTCTGTAATGTGCTGTCGCAACACAGAGGTGAACAAAAAGGAGGTGGTGGAGGCGGTGACCATCGTGGAGACCCCCCCCATGGTGGTGGTTGGCGTGGTGGGCTACGTGAACACCCCCCGAGGCCTGCGCTCCTTCAAGACCATCTTCGCCGAGCACATCAGCGACGAGTGCAAGCGCCGCTTCTACAAGAACTGGTGAGTGGAGCCCACTGGCTCGTCTCGTGGCTCGACGTTTAAGTGGAGATGAAACGCCAAATGTCTGACACCGGTGGCCCCCCCATGGCAGCTCCGCTCAGGCGCCCCCCGCCCTGATGAGCTCCGGGCTCCTCTGGCCAGTGGAAAGTGCTGCTTAGAAACTGAGCCATGAGCCGAAATCCCCCTCTGGCTGATGCGCCCCCCCGTTCGGCGGGGGCCGACAGCTCTGCACCGCGTCCTTCCGCTGGCCCCCCCACCCCTCCTTGGTGGGGCTATGAAGGACCGGTGCCAACCCCTGTCACTCCACGCTCAGGTACAAGTCCAAGAAGAAGGCTTTCACCAAGTACAGCAAGAAGTGGCAGGACGACGAGGGCAAGAAGCAGCTGGAGAAAGACTTCTCCGCCATGAAGAAGTACTGCCAGGTGGTCCGCGTCATCACCCACACGCAGGTCAGTACCCCCCCACCCCCATTTTAGCTCGTATTGGCCTCCCACAGTCTGTGATGAGGCCACGGAAACCGCGTCAGGCATGGCGCCCGACCCGCATGAGGATGCCTTCCATGCTGCCTTCCTTCTGAGACCGGTGGCGCCCGCCCTCCGGTCGGCTGCCCGCCGACACCCGCCCTAACCGGCCCGTTTCTCTGCCCCCCCACAGATGCGGCTGCTGCCCCTCAGGCAGAAGAAGTCCCACCTCATGGAGGTGCAGCTGAACGGAGGCTCCATCTCCGACAAAGTGGACTGGGCCCGCGAGAAGCTGGAGCAGGCCGTGCAGGTCAACACCGTCTTCACCCAGGACGAGATGATCGACGTCATTGGGATCACCAAGGGCCACGGTTACAAGGGTAAGCCCCCCCTCCATGACACGGCTAAAGGAACTGCAGGACTCTGAGTGGTTTTCCCTGTCTGTCTTCAAGAAACTCTTGAAGACCCACCTCTTAAAAGAGCATCTCCTATCCTAACCCGTACCTCTACCCCCCACAGCTCCTTCTGTAGTCCCTCTACCTTTATCTCTATCTCACCACTGACTGATCAGTGTTTCTCCTCTATATAGCTTGTCATAGTGATGATAAATGTAATATTGTGTCTACTCTGTAAGTCGCTTTGGAAAAGCGTCTGCTAAATGCATAAACATAAACAACATGAACATTCCAGGTGTCACCAGCCGTTGGCACACCAAGAAGCTCCCCCGGAAGACCCATCGTGGTCTGAGGAAGGTGGCCTGCATCGGGGCCTGGCATCCTGCCCGCGTGGCCTTCTCTGTGGCCCGCGCCGGTCAGAAGGGCTACCACCACCGCACGGAGATCAACAAGAAGATCTACAAGATCGGCCAGGGCTACCACACCAAGGACGGCAAGCTGGTGAAGAACAACGCCTCCACCGAGTACGACCTGTCCAACAAGAGCATCAACCCCCTGGTAGGAGTCCAGACGTGCACACATGCCCTCATGTACTACACACAGAATGTGTGTTTTGAGTGTCTCACTTGCTGCGTTTGAAACCACAGGGCGGCTTCGTCCACTACGGAGATGTGACCAACGACTTTGTGATGGTGAAGGGCTGCGTGGTGGGGACCAAGAAGAGGGTCCTGACTCTGCGCAAGGTCAGTAGAGAATGCAGTGGATCTAAAGCGTCCAGAGCCCCCCCACTCTGGACAGCTCTGCTCTAAAGCTTCAAACGCATAATGAAGTGTGTCCTGGCTAGGGATGTCCCGGTTCAGCTTTCTTTCACATCTGATACCGGGCGAGTGGAGCGGGCGTTTTTTTTTTTTTTTTTCCACTTCCGATCCAGCCTATCAGAGCATGTATCAAAGTTTAAAGTTATTTATTCTACTTGATGGTTAAGACACAGACCTGTGGGTTAGCAGATGCTAATGCTCCTCTGGGATCAGACTTTAAAAACTGGATAGGCATTTTATCCTGCCAGCCGTTAGGCAGTTTTTTGCGAATATGGGCATCTGACCCAAATATCGGATCAGGACAGGCCGAGTCCTGGCTGAGCTGTGAGAGCTAACGGTGTTTCTTCCTGCAGTCGCTGCTGGTGCAGACGAGCCGCCGCGCGCTGGAGAAGATCGACCTCAAGTTCATCGACACCACCTCCAAGTTCGGCCACGGGCGCTTCCAGACGGTGGAGGAGAAGAAGGCCTTCATGGTGAGGCCCGGCCCTGTGTGTGTGTATTTTCCTGCACTGTTCGTAACCTGGTTCAGCTCCCCATGTGGACTCGGGTTCCATTCCAGTGCCAGAGCGACCCCCAGTGAGGCAGGGGAGCAGTGCCTGTTTGTGCTGGCTCCCTGTTCACTCTCTGGGAACAATGGCCTCCTGGCCCACAGCAGACCCGCTGCCCGCCTCTGCTCAGAGCTGATGGCTCCTCTCTCTCTCCTACAGGGACCCCTCAAGAAGGACCGCATCGTCAAGGAGGAGACGGCCTAGAGCCCCTCATGGTTATCAGCTCTGCAGTTTTAAACGTCCCCGTGTCCACAGCTGTGCAGAGTTTAATAAAACTGAAAACCAAAGAGTGTCAGTTTGGTTTGTTCAGATCAGGGCTGCTTATAGGGACCACTGGTAGAATAACAGTGGCTCGTTTTAGTAGAATAAATGCTCGCCATTAAATGAAAATGCATCTTAAATGACTGCAAATGGCCAAAAGCTCCTGAGACGGATGGAGGCCTGTTTGGTTTTAGTCATTATCCTGTAACTTGCTGTTTAGAGGAGCTGCTGGTTTTTAAAGTAGAGGCTGAAACGGCCTTGAAAAGCTGGAGCTCAGCTTTGTGGGCTGGGGGGCCTATGGGCCCCCCCATAGCTGTCGCCTTCAGCCCTGCAACGCAGCGTGATTTTCAGCTGGATAAACGCGTCCTTGAGCTGTGGCGTTTACATTCGGCTGACGGTGGACTTCCGGGGCGGTAATTAAGCCCCAGCTTTGTCTGTTTTGACTCATCACTTCCAAAACCTGAGACCTGTGCTGGAGCGGGTAATGAGGACCCTGAGAGGGCTCTGAGGCCCATGTGGACGTCCAGTAAAACCCTTTTTCTGAGCCATCTGCATAATTGAACGCTCTCTAAGCAGAAACGTGGCTTTACTGTGGGGGTCAGGAGGTCCCTGGAGCTGTGGGGGCTGAGCGGTGTTACCGGGGGGGCAGCTCTGCAGCAGAGGCCCCCCCCCAGATTACCTGACGGTTCTGTCCCTGAAAGGTGCCATTGGTCTCTTTTTGCAGTCAATTTTCTGCCCGTTAAGTTTCTGTTCAGCCCAACTTTAGTGTTTTTATCGTCTCTGTTTTCATATTTTTTATGTTTGCGGTTATTTTTTTAGGTTGTTTCTTTGAGAATATGTTGTATTCTTTTCCAAGTCAATTTTTTTTGTAAATTTGGTGTTGGTCTTGTGTTTTTCTTCATTTTTGGTTGTGTATTGGGTCGTTTTGTGTTCTGATCTGGCTGGTCTGGCTCCACCTTTTCCTTTTCTGTTATTTACAGTTGCGTTGGATTTGTGGGGCTGGTTAGTGTATTTGTGTGTTCTGCCTAATGTTGTGTACTGAAGTCCTCCTGTGACACACTGGGGTCATTTCAGTCTTTTTTACATTGCTGTGAGTCCAAATCAAGCCTTTGTGTGGCAGTTTGTGTGTTACAGTTCACATATTCTGCCGGTTTGTGGTCACAACTCGTTGTGTTGTGTCCCTTTTTGGTCCGTGTAGTGTTATATTTTCCCATTTTTCTCAACGGGCTTTCTTTGGATTGGCTTTTGTGTCTCTGTCGTTGTTTTGCATCACTCTTTTGTCGCTTTCCACTAATATTCACAGTGTGTTTGTGTCTCATCCTTTGAATGACACGAAACAGGGGAGGTTCGACACTGTCCCGTTCCTCCTCGCCTTCTATCTTTTCAGATGGGTTCTCCTGGAAGAAGCAACAAAAAAAGGTTGTGCATTGTGTTGCATCTCCATGTGTGTGTGTGTATATGTGTGTGTGTCTGTGTGTGTGCAACCATGCAGTGGGGCCTCCAGTCCAGAGCCGTGGTAGCAGCTGTTGTTGGTGGGACGGCGGCCAGGTAACCAGAGTGCATGCTGGGACGGCAGAGAGGCGGGGCCGGGCCTTTGATTTGTGCGAGTCTGTGTGCGTGTGTTTGTGCGTGTGTTTGTGCGTGTGTGTGTGCCAGTAGGTGTGTGTGCATCTGTGTGTCGGTGTGCCTCCTGGCACGGCGGACGTCCGGCCGGCGTGGCGTCCGGCGGCGGGGGGGTCCGGCAGGAGGACAGACGGTCGGAGGGGACCACCACACTCTGCACGCCGTTATTACACACCGAGGTGGTGGTCGCACAGCCCCCCCCCACCGGGAGGGGCTGCCCCCCCCACCCGGGTAACCTGTTTTTTTTCCAGTGAGCGTTTCCCTTTGGCCTCGTTTTGACGAAGCAAAACCTTTTCAAGTCACAATCAACCTTTAAAAGTCTTACAATAACGATAAACTGGTGGATCTTGATTTGTTTAGCATCTTAAAACTCATCTATGGCTCACTCTGGCCGAAGGAAGGAAGACACAAGAGGCCTGGAGAACATCTCCTGACCCCCACTAGCTGCCTTTCCTCTTAGATTTCTAAAAATTTCCTGAAAACGTGTATGTATTCATCCCTCATCTCCTGGCTAAACTCCCAACATGAGGACTAGGGGGTGAATCCAAGTTTTTCCTTGCCTGTGTCGCCTAGTGCTTGCTCATGGTGGGAATTGTTGGGTTTCTGTAGTTAACTTCAGAGTAGGGTCTGACCTGTTCTGTTTGGAAAGTGCTGTGAGACAACTGTTGTTGTGATGTGGCGCTATATAAATACTATTTAATTGAATTGAATTGAATATCTCCAGTTCCCCCCGCGACCACATAGGGGAATGAGCGGTATTGATAATGGATGGATGGATTGAATATCTAATTCCTCTTTTAGCATGAAGAAGTCACTGGAGTGAGACGGAATAACTTGTTGGGAAACGAGTTCTGGCTCTTGTTCCCGGTCCCTATTCCTCCTTTCTCCCCCCCCCGCTGGGCCCCTCTCATTGGGGGGTCCTCCTCCGGTGGAGGATCCGGGGTTTTTTTTCTCTCCGGGGCCCTGCAGACTGCAGCCCTGCGCTGAGGCATCAGTATTCCGGGCCCGTCCGCGGACACGGCGTTCCCAGAGCCCAGGCGGGGCGCCCCCCCCCCCCGGCCCACCAGCAGGGGGCAGAGCGCCGCCCTGTTTTCTCTGTCTGCCGGTGAGCTGTTGCTCTGCACGCCTCCTCTCCATCTCTGTTGTTTTAGAAACTGTTGAAAGCCTCACAGGCTTTTAAAACCGGCTCAGATCGCTCCGTGGTCCATCAGCCGCCTCGTTTCTGAACGATGGCGCTTCTGGATGCTCGAATGGCTTTTTCCTTGTTCCTTTTTCCCTTTTTGGGGGGCATTGCGCCTTAAAGCTCCCTGTAACCGCTCAGCTTGACATGACCCAGAAATAACCTGCAGAGAGCGGAGTCAGCAACTGATCCGGTCAGCAGAACGCCGGGCGGACGCTCCGGACACGCAGATTCAGGGCCTGTGTGCCCAGGGAAGAAGAAAAAACACACACACACACACACACCAATACACACACACACAAATACACACACCTCAGGTTGCATTTGGTGTCCAAAGCTGTAATCCTCAGGGTCTGGAGCTTCTTAGCTGCTTGGCAGAGGAAACAAACGGGCAGAGCGCCCCCCCCCCCCCGCCCCCCGCCCCCCCTCCGGCCCCAGAGCTTGTCCAGTAAGGTTACAGGGAGGGCATCGGGAGGTTTGATGTGGGGTTATGTAACTTTCCTGCATGGACTGGGCGTCCACAGAGCCAGACCCAGGCAGAGAGGGGGAGGCCTACCGAAGATTGGGGAGGAATTGGCGTCAAAGGCTGAGGACGACCAGGGTGGAAAAGTAATTGCCGTTCAAAGCTCTGAAGGGAGGTTACGTTTGAGAATTTGAACCAGGTTTGTCTTTTGTTTGCAGATATTTTCAAGAAAACTATACAAAATCCTTGTCAAATTTTTATTATTAATCGAGCTCCAAAAAAATACTAAGAGAGGGTATTCATCTATGACTTCACCCATCACTATTATCAGTTTAATATGATTAAGACCAATGTTTAGCTTGATTATTTAATCTAGTTTCCATTACCTCTGATGAATGACACTTAAAAACTCAGATTAAGGCTTTTTACACTCAACGTGAATGAGAAAAGCAAAGTTGCTGTGTTTTAGTGGACATCGAGCAGCATATCTGCTCATATCAGAGGGCCCACTGCTTTTAGCCTCTTGTTTTCACTGGGATTTGCCCACTCTTCATTATTTCTGTTTGTATTCTTCTAAATGGATCATCATTTTTTTGTCCTTGGTGTCCACGTTTGCTTCCAATGATCACATCTGGATCTAATATCTGTCTAAAAGTCTGGCTAAATATCCCAGAATGCAACGGGCCAGAACAAAGTTTTTTTTTCTGTATGGTAGGCTCTTCTTTCCTCTGTATGGGACACAACATGGGTCCTAAATATGGACGTTAACTTATATATTGATAACTTTATGTCTTAGGTGTAATGATCTGTTACATCTCTGTACTATAGTGTCTTTTCTAAAAATCCCTGAGAAGTATAAATCCATTCAGTTTAATGAATAATTGTTATATTTCTGTACGTGACCTGGTTGGCTTTGGATGGGTGGCAGGTGCGTGTGCATCCTGAGCCTCGTTTAAAGCTTCTGTTGTGAAATTAATCATGGAGGTTATCTCGTACGGCTAACACCAAATCTGCCCGATTTCAGTTTGTAAGACAGTCGTAAAACATGTTCACACACAGGAGTGAAGCCCTCCTATTCCTGGATAGAAAGGCTGTCAAACATCAGTGGGTTTTCTGGACTTTTATCCCGTTTGAGCAGGTGAGAGAGTCGACTTTTGGAAGTTACTCTCATTAAAAATGAATGCATGTTTGTGAGGTTGTGTCAGAATGTAGTGCTTCTGGAGTAAGATGATTTCAGTTTTACGCAGATTACATAATTTGCCCTGAAAATCTGCATCTGACTGAGGCTTTCGCCTCGGCAGATTAAGTTCTGCTCGCTCCAAACCCGAGACGGAAACCGGCTTTTGCTCGCCGCCTGAAAGTGAACTATTTCCAGTTTTAGGAGCCAAGATTTCTCATGAAGGACGCGTCCCGTCCAACTCCAGTCTGACACATTACAAATCACTCTGTTCCAGCTCAACAGTCTGTTTTCACATGTCAAAAGGAGAGAATTCTCCTCTATAAATCCTTCCGGAGTGGTCTGCTCCCTATGTGAGAAAAGGGGTTTTGAAGTCCCCCATTTTGAAGGCAAAATGGAGGACGCTATTCCTGAGAGGAAGCGAGCGGCAGGCGGGAGAAAAAAGATTTATTCAGTCTGAAAACACATTAAAAATGTGACATTCAGACCGCTGCTCTGAGGAAAGGTGCTGCCGGTATCTCTGAGCCTTAAGTCTGACACACACTCCTCCTCTTTAATGTGGTCCGGGCCTGTAAAATGACTTCTGCTTATGAATTCTGAATAAGGGAAGCTATACATAATAAAAAAGCCGCGTTCATTTAGACTGCCACGTTGACACATTTCCCTCTCGACTTGGTGGAGGGTGTGAGTTTGTCATCACTTTTTTTTTTCGGGATCGGGCTCGAGTTTCCGCTCGGCCGGTTGTTTCTGAACACGTCCAGTTGTTCAGTTTCTGCTCTCCGCTCTGAAGAGCACACCCCCCCCCCCCAAAAACAAAACCCCTTCTTGTCTCACTTTATGTGTCAGCATACACACACGCACACACACACACACACACACACGCGCGCAAAGGTGTCGCAAAGATGTCGGAAGAAACTCCAGCAGGAACAGAAAACTGGCAGGAAGATTCAAAATGTCCCATCAAAGACAGGGCCTCTCTGAGCCTTTCCAGAGGTGGGAGATAAACAAAAACAGCTGGATGTGGGCGCCAAATGTCGATAGCTCCTTACGTTTTCAGCACAGGCACAAACATTCTCATCTGACTCGTGTTGTAAACGCGGATATTTGATGGCTGCTGCTGATATTTTGGGGATTAGGGCTCCCAGTGGTCGATTACGGCGTGTTATCGCCATTTTACAACAGGCTCACGCGCGTTACGTCTGACAGCTCAGGCTTTGTTTTACGGCTGTGTGAGGGGCCGATGCAAATATCTTTTGGAGAGAACTTTTCAAAGAGCCAATAAGTCGTGTCGAAAAAAGACAAAATCAAATAGCTTTTCCACTCCAAATGTCATCCATGAAATTTGTTTTTTTTATGCTTAAATGTCCCATGTATGTTGAAACTGCCCGTAGTGTTTGTAGCATATTAAAAAATAACCATAGAAACACTTATTATAAGTTTCCTAACAGTGTATAATGAGGGTAAAAGGCCTTCATGAGGAATAAAGAAGGTGGATTTCTGATTTCAAAATCTGGATTTGAAAAATAACAAGCAAATAAATTATAATACTTCCAATCAACTTAAAAGGACTTTACTGGGAGTTTGCAGATGCAAACATGATATTAGTTCACTGTGTTGCTGTTTGGAATATAAGCAAATATAAAAGGCTGCTGATGGAGAAATGAGTGATTGATCTGCCACATTCTGAAGCCCCATCAGCCTGAGAGCCCCCCACGATGATAAAAAGCTCCTCCCCCAGGACAAACGCACCATAAATTAAAAGAAAAATGGTAAAAAGAGTGAAATATGTCAGAGGCAGCAATCAGAAATTAAAAGAAAAAAACTTTCAAGGAGAGGATGCTGATCAAAATCATGCACAAACAGGATGGAAATAAAGAAAAGGAAAACTGAATTTATATGAACAAAAAAGAAAAAGACCACCCCAAAAGCTGCAACCAATGAGGTGTAGAGTCATCATAACACAGCAAAAACAACCTCTAATAGATGGAAAATGACCACTAAATTCAATTCTGGAGCCTGACCCAGCTGTCCTGGACACGTCAGTCCATCACAGGTCAGTCCATCACAGGTCCATCACAGGTTAGTCGGTCCATCAGAGGTCAGTCCATCACAGGTCAGTCCATCACAGGTTAGTCGGTCCATCAGAGGTCAGTCCATCAGAGGTCAGTCCATCACAGGTCAGTCCATCACAGGTTGGTCCATCACAGGTCAGTCCATCACAGGTTGGTCCATCACAGGTCCATCACAGGTTAGTCGGTCCATCAGAGGTCAGTCCATCACAGG